AAAAAAAAAATAGATGCTTAAAGCCAGGCAGGGCTCCTGGACTGGCAGCAGCCGTGGCCTCAGCAGCAGAGTTTGCTTAGTCATCCGACAAACGCCACTCTGCCCTGGGCTGTGCGCGGCGAGCCAGAGATGACACAGGCAGCTGCTGTGGTTTTGCTGCCTGCTGCTGCCGGGTCTGGCCCATCCACGCGGGTTCTGCCGGTTTGCCCTCGCAACAGCTCCGGGAGGTAGGTGTTCCTAGTCTCGGCGAGGAGACCGGACGAGCGGCGTGCCCAGCGAGCAGCCTGGCTCCCCGTCTGGGCTCAAACCCGAGGCGGCCTGTGTGGTTGGCTGGAGGTGGGAGGGAGCAGAGACAGGGGCTGTGGGACCCTCTGGGGCCCCCAGCCGGACTCTGGAACCTGGGGGGAGGCTGCTAGAGCCGAGTTCTCTGGGGACAGAGAGGAATGAGCCAAGCACAGGAGGTGGGCACTGCTCGCTCGGAGGGTCAGCACCCTGGGCACACAGGGTGTGCTCAGCTGCAGCACAGCTGCAGCAGTCTGCAGCAGGGCAGCGACAGGCCGGCGCGGCGGCCAGGGGGCAGGAGAGGGCCCTGACAGCTGTGTGGCACGACTCCCGTGGGGACCAGGGGCTGAGCGGGGCTGTGACAGGCTGGGTCTGAGGCTGCTGTCCAGGAATCTGGTTGGAGAGAGCCCAGCTGTGGACAGGAGACAGGGCAGCTGGAGCTCGGCCCGGCAGGAGGCAGCAGGCGCTGGGCCCCCTGGGGTGGCTGCGAGGCCGCCGCAGGGACCCTGCCCCCCCTCACCCCGGTTCCCAGCCGCACCCCGAGTTCTCCTGCCCAGACCTGGAGCCCCAGGCCACCCAGGCCTGGTGGCTTTAAAGAGAGCCCGCACACAGGGCTGGGACGGCAGTAGCTGCCCAGACACCCTCCAGGACTGCGCCCACTCGTGCTGCTCCCTGCGGGGACAGGAGCCAACCCCACGAGCCTGGGGCACTAATCACTAGTCTCTTTACCAGGTGAGGACACAGCGCCTTGGCCACTGTCGCACTGCAGGTGACTGGCTGGGTCAGGGTGTCAGCCGAGGGGCCCCTGCCCTTCTGGAGGGTCTCCAGTGCCAATCTGCAGACAGGGAGGACTCTGGTGGCGGTCCCGGGCCAGCAGGGCGTGGGGACCCACGGGAAGGCGTGGACTCAGGACTTGTCCCCGAAGAGTCCAGTCCCCCGGGGGAGACACCACCCGCTGCTCACCCACCCCGCAGGTGGTCCCACACACTCAGGCCTCAGTCCCCCAGCCCGGCCACGCTGCCAGTGGTCACTGTCCCTGGTCAGGCGCCTGCCCCTGAAAGACTGGTGCGCCGGTGCCTCCCCATTGGCTGCTGGAGGATTCTGGGATTGTGGTGGGGGGCAGGGCAGGCAGGGATGTTGGGGCAGTGGGCAGAGGCGAGGCTCCGAGGCCACAGGCCCAGTGAAGTCCCCTGAAGGCCCCTGGCCGGTGGGGGCAGCCGGGGAGCACACAGCAGCCCCAGGAAGAGAGAGCCCCCTGCAGAGGGGGTGGGGCGGAGGGAGGAGGGAACCAGGAGGCAGATGCAAATGAGGGCTGGCGCTGCTTTCCCAGGGAAATGGTCATTTCCATAGGCACTGAGCCCCCCCTGGGGCCTGAGGGCCGCCGGAGCTCCTGGTCCCAATTTCGTACCACCAGCTCCAGGGCACCCGTGCGAGCACACCGCTTAAACGGCCTAGGCAGGGAAGTCGCTGCACCTGCCCGGGCCGTTCACCTGTCTCACGGAGTGGCACGTTGTCCTCCGAGGATTTTAAGTGTGCTTGATGAGATCCGCTCCTGATGGAAATACATCTTCTGCAAAGCTGTATTGCGTGTCTACTACTGATGCTTCCTGGCTGCCCGGCAGGGACACAGTTGTGTTTTGCGCGTTGATCTGGGGTCTGACAACCTCGGGACTCTCGGTGGCTGCAGCAGACGGTTCTCTCCGTCCGTGTTCGTGTCCGTGTCCTGCTGCAGAGCTTCCCTGCCTTTTCCTAAAACGGCCACATTTTCTCCCGCCGGGGCGTACGGTTCACCTTTGCTTCTCTCGGAGGCTTCCTCCGACTCGCCAGGATCCATTCGCAATTTCCTCTGTTTAGGTCTCACTTGCGTCAGCCTCCCCCTCCCCCAGGGGCTCCTCTCTCTGCTCGGAGGAGCATGTTGCCAGAATGCGTGGGGGGCTGTGGCTGGGGGTCAGCACCCCCCCCGGCTGCCAGGGACCACGGTTCGCCTGTTTCAGAGCTTGTCTTCCCCCACCCCCAAAAGGCTAAGAGATGAAAGTGTTCCAGAAATGGCTTCAAACACACGGTAGTCACGTGTCGTGGACAACTGGGCATTGTCATCGGATCTCGGTTCCCTACCACTGGAACTAATGTCTGAAGGTCATGCACCCGGCACGGCTGCTGACTGCATCTTAGGGCTCTTAGAAATGTCACCGTGACCTTCCCCGATGGTCTGCGCCGGTCCCTGGGTCTTGGGCCTGCAGACTTTTAGCACTTTGCCTGCAGGTGCCTCAGCAGGTGGCAGCACCTCCCCCCCACCCCCGCCTTGGGCGTGGGTGCTAGGGGCCACCCTCCCCGCACCCACTGGGCCTGACCCGCCTGCTCCTTTCAGGGGGAAGGTGCTTGTCCTGACAGGTGCGGGTGGCATATGCCAGGCCTCGGGCGCTCGGCGGCCATTGTGGCCGTGTTTACCCGTCTGACGTCTCCAGCTCCCTCCCCGCCTCGCCGCCTTTCCCGCCGGGCCTCCATCTGGAACAGATGCCGGACTCGGCCGCTTCCCTCTCGGGAGAGCCAGCCAGCCCTCTCTCTCGGACGCACACGCGGGGCGTGTATTCTCTCTACAACAATGCCGCCCTTGTGCGGTTTCCTTCCGAAAGGCCAGAGCGCCCCGACCCCTCACACCTGTCCGCGCCGCCTCTGACGACGTCACAGCTCCCCCGCCTCCTTGCAGGCGTTCGGGGTGCATTGTGAACGCTCCCCTGTCCAGACTCCTGCAGGAGACCCCCGGAGGATCCGCAGCTCCCCTCCGTTGGCCTGAGCCCCGGCCCTGCCGCCGCCTCCTCCACCACCCCCGGTCATGCCGATGCGAGCGGCCGGCCGGCGCGCTCTTGTCGGACCCCGGTGCCCGTGCGGCCCGCCCGCAGGTCCTGCGCTTCTCGAACCGGAGATTGGGGGTTCTGTTCCTTCTGTGTTCAGTGCAGGCAGATGTGTGGACTTTTTTTTGTTTAACTTTTTTTTAAAGATTTTATTTATTTATTTTTAGAGGAGGGAGGGAGATAGATTGAGAGAGAGAAACATCAATGTGCGGTTGCTGGGAGCTGTGGCCTGCAACCCAGGCATGTGCCCTGACTGGGAATCGAACCTGCAAAGCTTTGGTTTGCAACCCACGCTCAGTCCACTGAGCTATGCCAGCCAGGGCCGACTTAGACATTTTAAACACCCAGGACACCCCTGGCTGGTGTGGCGCAGTGGGTTGGAGTGTCGTCCTGCAACCAAAGGGTCCTCAGTTCAGTTCCTGGTCAGGGCACGTACGCAGGTTGCAGGTCTGATCCCCAGTCCGGGCTCAAACAAACCAATTGCTGTTTCTCTTTCTTCCTTCTTCTCTCTCTATTAGCAGTGAAACAAATATTATTTGGTGAGGGTTTTTTTCTTTTATCTTTATATCTTTAAATATTTTATTTATTTTTAGAGAGAGCGGAAGGGAGGGAGAAAGAGAGCGGGAGAAATATCGGCCCTCAACCCAGGCATGTGCCCTGCCCGGGAAAGGCTGCCCTGCAACCTTTCCGTACACAGGCCCGCGCTCAACCCACTGAGCCACACCAGCCAGGGCAGAATTCACAGCTGTAATAGTTAGACAGACCTTTGGCTGCAAGCAAGAGCAAAGTCAGTGAAGGGTGATTTGAACAACTTGGGTTTTCTTTTTCCCCGTACGTTGGGCAGTGGCTGGCCTTGTATTCTTTCTGTTCCCACATGGCCCTCAAGAGAGCCAACACTCTGCGTGCCTCTCTGCTCCGAGTTCCTGACGCATTAGTTACTCTTGTTTTCGACACCTCAGTATCATAAACCGCTGCTGCAGCTCGACCCTTCACTCCGTGTGGAGGGCAGCAAGGAGAGAGAAGAGCGCCCCAGGCTGTGTCTGCTCCCTTTGAACCCACATCGGACTTCCGGGACAGGGTTGCATACCCGCCGCTGGCTGCAAAGCACGCTGGGCGAGTGAGGAGCAGGAGTGTCGTGGTCAGCCTAGGAGGACAGGGATTCAGGGCCGCCCGAAGAGTATCAGTCTTACTAGCAGGCGGAGGGGAGGGCAGACGCGCCAGGGCAGTGCGGAAGGAGGTGGTTAGAACACATTGCCAGGAGCTCTCGTTACTGACGCGGGGCACGTGGTGTGCGTTATCTGCCTAGGAGCAAGCCTGGAGAGTACCTGGCAGGTCCCCCTGCGACCTGGGACTGGGCGTGGCCCGTCCCCGTGAAGCTTATCTGCTTCCTCGGCCAGGGAAGCAGCAGACAGTGAGAGCAGGGAGTGTTGGGGAACGCTCTCCAGGTGGAGCCTGGCCTTGTGCCGCTATTTTGATAACAGATACCTGTTTTTTTTTATGGATTTTTTTATTTTTTTATTTTTCCGTATCGGGATTTCTTAGAGTGCCAACTGGCCTCTTGAGGGGCCAGTAGTAGAGCCTCTCTCAGATTTAGACTCTGACTCTGTGTCACAAAGAGGAAAGACGAGAGCCCTCACGAATCCTCTCCAGATCCCCGACTTCAGAGATGCCTGCTGGAGAACAGGGAGGCACCGGGACTTGCCCAGAGGCACGGGCGGCCGGAGCCAAGCCCGGGGCAGCTGGGCGGGGCGGGCTGACGGAGGCTCCAGCAGGGGAAGAGTGGGCTGGGGCAGGGGTGGGGGTGCTCCGAGAAACCCCACGTCCCCCAGTTCCGGGTGTCAGCCTGTGTGTGTCTCTCTCCCCCAGGGAAGAAATGTCGCAAGCGGGACCCCTCTCCAGGAACCTCATTTTGTGCACCTTCCTGCAGGAGCACAGCCTGCAGCCCGTGGAGGTCGCCGACACCGCCAGCCTCCTCCACTTCAGCCCGGAGCCCCTGGGGTAGGTCCCAGCAGCCCCTCCGTGGGCCCCGCCCACCCGCATTCCTGCAGGTGGCCATCAGGGGGCGTGGTGAGGAGGGCAGGCCTGCTGGGTTCCTGGCTGCACTCGGGAGTGGAAACTGCCCAGGCTTGGTCCTGGGGGATGGGGGGAAGGCTTTGCTCTCACACCAGCTCACCGGGGGCGCCTTGGAGCCTCCAGCATGTCCACCGTCCCAGGAAGGACCTTGGGCACCTGCCGTTGAAGTGGCTCAGGCTGGTGGCCTTAGGATGGAGTGCCTCCTGGCACTCCATGACCACGACCGCCTGGTCCAGGCCTCGTAAGTGGTGGATCCAAAGTCGCTGAGGCCCCTGGAGACACAGCTCCTGGCCTGGCTGTCAGGGCGGCAGAGAGAGAGGGGATGCTCCCGGGATCGCCCCCGGTTCTGGGTGCGCCCCACTGGTTTAGGCCTGAGGATTCTTAATCCTGACGTCCCAGACTTGGGGGTAGGGGCTGGTTGGGATTGTAGGGCTGGAGGGACCCAAAATGTGCCTTTTTCCTCCACCCTGCCCCATTTGTAGATGACAGCAGGGGACGTTCAGCCTGGGGCACTGTTGTCCTGAGGTCCCACAGGGTGTCGGCATACAGGTGGGACCTCAGCCCACCTCCCTGACTGGCAGCCCCCAGCCCGCTCCCCATCGCTCCCGGAGACCGGGGAGGTGGCCGGGGCTCTGCGGGGCTGGGGATTCCCAGGCGGCCACCTCGTCACCAGGATGGAATGTGTGGGCAAACACCTGAGACGGGGCCGAAACCGCCCAGGTGCCCAGCAGGTGGGGGGAGGGAGGGGAGAATGTCAGACTTGGGGATTGCATGGGGTGTGCGCCTCCACTTCCATGAGGGACTCAGTTCAGTGAGAGTGGGGGGCCCAGACGGGGGCTGATGAGCCCCCCCTTTCTCAGAGGGGTGATGACACAGGTGGTGTCAGGACTGGGGACCAGGGAACAGGTCCCCCAGCTCCTCCCTGCGAGGAGGAGGGTAAGTTGAAACTCGCAGGGAAAGCCAGCCTCAGAGCCCCCACCTGCCCAGACCCCCGGCAGAGGGCTCAGGCCAAACCCAGAAGCCCCCTGCCCTCCCACCGCCGAGGACAGGCCCTGGAGGGCCGTCACTGCAGCGAGCTGGAGCCAGAGGAGAGCCGTGGGGAGGTTCCTTGCCCCTCACCGTGCCCTGCGTCCCGTGAACCTGTGGCCCAGTTGGCTGGGTGGGTCTGGGTGGGAGGGTCACCGGCCTGGCCCAGCCCTGACGCCGGCACCCTCCTGCAGGGACATCCCTCACGAGATGGCCATGCGGCTGGCCTCCATCGGGGATGAGCTGGAGCTGAGGTGGATGCTGCCTCGCGTCGCCCAGATGCCCTGGATGGCCATGTACAGGTGAGCACAGGTGACCGGCCCCCGCCTGCGTCACCTGCCCCAGGAGCTGGCCTGTGGCCCCGTGTTCTTCCTGCCTTGGCCACAGACGGTGGACCCAAGCCCCCCCTCCCCGCCCTCCCTCCTCAAGCCAAAGGGTCTGGATGTAAAGTGACCGGGTGTGTCGAGTGAGCTCCAATGGCAGTGTCCATGTGTCCTCCCGGGCAGAGACACTCGGCACCCAGGATTTGCCAGGATCCCTGAGGGTTCTCAGACCTCACGGAAGGTGGAGAACGTAGAAACCTCCCACAAGGCCAGGACCAAAGGTGACGCGGTCTCTTGGTCTCCAGGGAGGCAGCCTCCCTTGGGGGAGCCCGGCCTCTACCCAAACAGCTGCTCTGGAGGGAGGACCTGCTCCCCTGGACCTGCCTCTTGGGACCTGCAGACAGTGGGGCATTGGCCATGTGGCCAGCTCTGCGTGGCTGGCTCCAGAACGCAAGGGCACGTTGGGGAGGAGACGGGAAATCAGATGAGCTTAGGCCCGTGGACAGGGGCCCTCACGGCAGAGCCACCCAGGGAAGGGCAGGGGAGAGGGGGACAGGCCCGCTTCTCCCCACAGCTGTCACCTAAACTAAAGGCCGTCTCTGCCCAGTTCGCGTAGTAACGGCCCACTCCCGTCCCGTTCTGTCTCACAGCTTAGCTTTCACCTACAACCAGACGGGCCTGAGGGGCGTTCTGAGAAGTTTCATGGGTGGCCTCACCAACCTCAGGGGAAACAGAAGGTTCTGGAGCTTCCTGACCCTCAGGGACAGGGTAAGTAGGCTTGGCAGTCCGCAGCTGCTCCGTGAAGCAGAGCAGCTGCCCTCTCCGGTGCCAAAGGCCCCGCCACTCCCTGTCGCTGGCCTAGCCTGCTCCGCCCCGTTTCTTCTGCCTGGTCCCCGTGGCCTTCGGGTTGGGCTTATTGACTGTGCGCGGGCCCGCGTGTGCCTCGCCGGCTCCCCACCTGTGCCCACACTTGGCCCTCTGCCAGGCCTCTGGCAGACACGTCTGGTTCCTCGTTCACCTGCAGGGGTGGGGGGCAGGTGCCTCTAGTCCTGGGCAGCTTTCCTGGCCACGCCCCACCGCTCCCACCACCTCATCCCGTCATCCCAGTCCCCAGCAGAGGACGCCCCCGTGGCCTGGCCACCCCTCCGGCCGGTCCTTGGGCACTTTCCTCTCCCACCCCTCCTGGCTGCCTCGTCTTCCTGGACCCCCGGCTCCAGCCCCTCGGGGTCCGTGAGCGAGGTGGGGCTGCAGCCCTCCCGCTCCCCGCACGGGGCGGGCACAGGAGGCGCGAGGAGCCGGCCCCTTCCGGGCTGCCGGCCCTCACCTCTCTCCACCTCCACCGACAGGTGTCCCCCGGCCTGGGGCGCAGGCTGTCCCTGCTGCTGCTGCTGGCGCTGCTGCTCGACTGGGGCCTCCACGTCCTCCAGTGAGGCGCTGCGGGCGGCGCCGGGGCGGGGCTGGCCCCGCCCCCCGACTGCCACCCTGGAGGTGGCCTTGTTGGCTTTGTTGTCTTTTTAACTTTCTTATGATCCCTTTTTTATATTTAAATTCTGAGTGCTGGGACACTCCTGAGGTTTCATATTTGTGTTTTTGTTTGTTTGTTTGTTTTTGTAAGAGAAATGAATTACGCCCTCAGGGGTCTTTATGGTTACCTGCTCCCCCGGCCCCAGCCCGCCCCTGCGGCGGCCTGTCCCGGAAGGAGCCTGCCTCATGGGCGGGGCCTGTAGCGGGAGATGGGGGGAGTGCTGGCCACGCCCCCATGTCTGCAAGGCCCGCAGCACAGAGAATCTGCTGGAGTAGGTTTCTGAGGGTGAGGAGAGCGCAATAAACTGTTGATTTCCGTCCGTCTCTGGTCCTCTCTGGGGGGTGCGCAGTGTGGGCTCCATCTTGCCCCTCGGAGGGGAGGGCAGGGAAGGGGCGGGCCTGCTCCTAGCCTCCTGCCTGTCGCAGCCTCCAGGCTCATCGCTGCACCTGCCGGCGCCGACTGAGTCCCGTGGAACGGGTCTGCTCCCGCCCATCCTGCCCTGGTGTCTAACATCTACCGCCAGGGATCGTTTCCTTTGGGCGTGCTCCCTGTGGGGCTGCGCCCGGGGCGGGGTGGGGCGCGGGGTTTCCACGTGCTGCAGGAAGGTGCTCTGCTCTTAGGGGTTAGAAGCAGCTTCAATCCGAGTCCATAGAGAAATCGGTCTTCAACCCCCAAAAGGAAGGACCAGAGGCCTGTCCCCTCCCAGAAAGGTGGCAGGCAGGGGTGACATGGGTCATCCAGTGGCCTCCCGATTCCTGCAGAGTCCCCTCACCCAGCTCCGCACAGGCCCCGGGGCGCTGCGGCAGGGGCCCGGGACCCCTGTGCCCTGGGGATGGGAGGTGGGGGCTGCTGGGGGCAGCGAGGCGCCTTCCCAGAGCAGGTGACAAGGCTGTGGGGACGGGGGGGGGGCACCATCTTTTTCTGTTTCAGCCGCTTTTGAACAAGTTCTCTGGTCTGGTCCAGATTTCTGGAGACGGGGCAGGAGGGAGGCTCCTAAAGAAGGCGCCCGGGGGGCCTGTTCCCGCTGGGCAGGAGCGTGTGCCCAGTTGTGGGGGGGCTGGGGTCTCCACTGACCTGGGCCCCAAGACGGGGCGGCTGCCGGCCACAGGGACGGTGTCAGAGGGCATTTCCCCAAGGGGCCAGGACGTAGGCCCCACGGAGCGCCCTGTGCCTCTCTCTGCCTCTTTTCTGGAGTCAGAGTCAGCAGGGCACCCCCACCCAGCCCAGGGCTCTGTCCCGGAGGTGACCCTGCCCACCAGTTTTGGGGTGGGGTCCTCCTGCACCCCTGCCTGTCGCTTGCCATTCCTCCCATGGCTCCAAGCTGCGTGGACCGAGCGTACCGTCCCAGACCCGAGGGGGCAGGCCTGCCACGCCAGCTCCGTCACGGGACGTCCTCAGGACGGGGGACACCACCCTGCCTGCAGCTCCCGCACAGCCCCTGGCCTAAGGGCTGGGTCTCCTGAGACTGCCCGCTGCCCGTTCAGAGCTCTCAGCGGAGGGGAGTTCGAGCAGAACTGGCCGTTTCTTTAAACTAACCACCAGGTTCTTTCTGAACGTTTGAGGGTTTCTACAACCAAGTTGGAAGGGCTCCCGTCCAGTACGCGCTGGCCAGGAGCCAGGACGGCTGCCCACAAGCAGGGACCCCCGTAGGGAAGCAGGGACCCCCGTAGGGAAGCCGGTCCAGCCCGAAGGCCGGCGGGGGCCCTGCTGAGAAGCCCTGAGCTTTACACACCAGTCTGCACATTGACACTATATATATATATATATATATACTTTTTTTTTTTTAAAGATTGTATTTACTTTTAGAGAAAGAGAGGGAGAGAAACATAAATATGCAAGAATGTGCAAGAGATAGATTGATTGGTTGCCTCGTGTGCTCCGACCGGGGACCTGGCCCACCACGCAGGCATGTGCCCTGACTGGGAATTGAACTGGTGACCCTTTGGTTCTCAGGCTGGCACTCATTCCAGTGAGCCACACCAGCCAGGGCTATATATGTTTTTAAGGATTTTTATTTTTAGAGGGGAAGGGAGAAAGGAAGAGACACATCAGTGTGTGGTTGCCTCTCTAGCGCCCCCTACTGGGGAACCCAGCATGCAACCCGGGCGTGTGCCCTGACTGGGAAGCATACCCGGCGTCCACTTGGTTCTCAGGCTGGCACTCAGTCCACTGAGCCACACCAGCCAGGGCATGACAGTATACCTAAAGACAAACGCAGAGGTTTCATTCCCAGTGAGGTTTGCGCACTGGTGCTGAATAATGAAAAGACCCCCTGGGAAGCATGGGATTACTCATCTCTGACGCCGACGCAAGCAGCTGCCTCTGCAGGGCGCCTGGGCTTTGCCCCCTATGCGGACCGGGCAGCGGGTGCGCCCTGTGCCAGGCTGGGTCTTGGGCACCCAGCAGGCACTCAATATTCGCTGCAGGGGTGACTTGGGAGGGGGGAGGAAGCGGGACCTCAGCAGCCCTCCTTGCACCCCTCTGCTTTGCTAAAGGCCCCCCACTCCCTGGCACACAGCAGACCCCCCAACACTACCCCTTGGCCCTGGGTGTCAGGACTGCCGAGGCCAGCTGGGTCTCAAGCCCTTTCGACTCGGTGACGGAGGAGTGAAGATTCCGGTTGTGGGTGGCTACAGGGATAGTGGGGCACCGCCCCGTGCCACTGGCCTACCTGGTGCCCATACCGGGGTGCCCATAGCACCTGCCACGCACGGTGAACAGGCCCAGCCTTTCTAGTCCTTGGGACGCTCCTGCCAGCCGGGCCGGCTCAGCCCACGTCAGAGCCACCACCTGCGCCGAGGTGATGGGCCCGCCCAGGTGGCCAGCCGGTGGAGGCAGCGCGAGAACTCAGCAGTCTCTTCACGTACTGGGCACTGCTGCTCCCGTCCCCAGCACCGAACCACGCTTCCAGGAGGAGGAACGGTGCCGTGACCCGTGTGGCTCGGCCGGCTGGGCGTCTTCCTCCAATGTGAAAGGTCGCCAGTTTGACGGTTTCAGTCCCCAGTGGGGATGCACGGGAGGCGACCAGAGGCAACCAATGGGTGTTTCTCTCCCTTCCTCCTCTCCAAAAATAAAATCTTTAAAAACAGAAACGGACTGTCTTGTATAAAGAAACACTTCTAGTACTTTATGTGGCGTTCAAAGCTCTTTGCAAACAGTCCCTCCCGGTCAAGCAGAGGGGTAGACTGGACAGGAAGGAAGGGCAGGAACAGGAACAGCCTCCTGTGGGGAGGACAGCCCGGCCCCGCCCCTGCAGCCCCCCCCGCCCCGCCCCCTGCTCATCCAGGGACCCTACGAGTCCTGGTCTGGGTCCTCGTTCTCGGCCAGCACCTCCACGTTGCTGTACGACTTCCAGGCCTGCCGGTTACAGCTCTTCAGGATGGCTCCCAGCTGCTTCCCGGGCCCCACCTCAAAAGTCTGGGGGAACTCCGTGCCCTTTTTCCTCTCGTACAGGGCGTGCATCGTCTGCTCCCACTTCACCGGCGAGACCACTTGCTGGGCCAGCAGCTTCTGGATGTGTCTCGGGTGCAGGTACCGGTTCCCGTCCACGTTGGAGTGCACGGACACCAGGGGCTTCCTCACGTCCACGGCCTTCAGCACCTGTGCCAGCGGCTCGAGGGCCGGCTCCATGAGGCGGGTGTGGAAGGCGCCGCTGACCGGCAGCATCTTGGTGCGCCTGAAGTGGTACCTGGAGGAGTTCTTCTGGAGGAACTGCAGAGCCTGGCAGGAGGAGAGGCGGGGTAGGCTGGGCACATCTCGGGGGGAGACGCAGAGAAGCGCTCCCGCGGAACCAGCCCGGTCCTGCGTGCAGACCCTCCCCCCACACCTTGCATCCTGCAGAGCCCCTGGCTTTCCTCTGCATCCCAGTTAGAGCCACTGCTGTCGGTGTCCCAGGAACCTGACCATTCCCTCGGCCCCCGGGCAGGTGACCACAGGGTGGCCGGGAGAGACCTGATGCTGGACATGTGGGACTTGGGGCCCATCCCGGCACTGTCACTCACTAGCTCGGTAGCCCCTGGCAAATGACCCAACCTCTGGACTTTTATTTTCCCACCCATAAAAGTCAGCCACCCCCAAAGCTGCCGCGAAATGATCCGGCAGGCTTGTGACGGCGTCCGGCAAACAAAAGCAGCACGCCTGAGTGCCCATTTTCCATCGCGACTGCTCCCTGTCACCACCCAGGACACGCCTGTTTCCGTGTGACTGCATAACCTTCAACATAAAAGTGCAGGGGACGCCAAACTCCTTCCCACCAGGACCCCCTCAGCTGGGGTTCCCCTAGGGAAGCCATCCGCTTTCTCCTTCTGAAGCCCAGCCTCCCCTGACCCCCGGGGCTCCCGGGGCCACACCAGGAACTGTTTGCAAAGAACGTAATTTGCAAATATCTTGAGAATACTAGATACTTAGATACTCTTGGGGCTCTCTGCTCTCAGGGCAGGCCAGGGCTGCTCGGAGGCTGGGCTGGCAGCTGGGTGGCCTTGGACAATTTTACTGTAGCTCTTGCATCTCGGTCCCCTCCTCTGTGGGACGGGGGTGATGGCGCTGGCTACAGGCTGAGGTAAGGAGAACGGTACTCGGCGCACACGTGCTGCGATAGGTCAGCAGTTACCATGTCGGATACCAAGCCCAGCCATGTCCACCGGCAAAAGCTGTCACAGGGTTGCTAATGTGTGCCCCCCCGGGGTAAGAGGGATTGCCCTTTTGTGGGACACAGCACCCCTGGGCCCTCCCTGCAGGGGTGCACCCGCCTGCCAGGCACGGCCAGCCACCCTCGGCCCCACCCAAGACTGTCCTCCGCTGTGAGTTTGCCCCACGCGGACGCTGCCCCAGCCGCGCCTGCCCTGGGGCAAGAGCCTAGCACAGCAGCGCCCAGCACCACAAACCTCACCTGCAAGGGGCCCTTGCCTGTGAGACGCACAGCTGTGGGGGCCACCGAGGGGTCTGGGCCCTGTCACTGTGGCAGAATCTGGCCGGCCCAGGCTGACCCGGTGCTTCACACCCACCGCACCGAGGGACACGCCCCAGAGGCCTCTGAACAGTGGCCTCTTGGGCTCCAAGCCAGACCCCCTCCGCCCGACTGTCTGGCCACGCCCAGCACCTGCTCTGGCGGCTCCTCCCCCAGTGCACTCCCTCCAGTTTTCCAGGGGCATTCCGCGTGCTTTCCACGTGGCCCTGGACCCACCCACCCCAGGCCCCTGTTAGAGTCACTGCCTCGGGCGCCAGCAGGCTCCTTGGTAGTGGCCCTCCACTCGGGCCCTGGTCTGGCAGAGGCTGCGGAGTCTTTAATTCCAGTTAAAAAGGACCCTGGCCCTCCCCTAAACTCTTCGCTGTGGCACTTCCAACAGCACCGAAAGGCCGGGCCTGGGACTCGGGGGGCATCGTGGGACGGATGCCCACCTGTCCGGAGCCAGCGGGGGAGAGCCCTGTCCGGGGTGGGCCCTCCTAGCCCACTTCCGGGAGCTAATGGGAACGAGCAACCAGCTTCGTGACTACTGGGGGCCGCTGTATCTGACCACGTCACCTTGGGACGGCCCCAAGAGGGACCTGCTGGCTCCCACTGGTGCAGGGGAACCGAGCAACGTCAAGTGCGGGCGGCAGATTCCAGAATGCGACCGCCTGCAGTTCCGGTTCCGCCTCCTAGCACCTCCCCCTCCCCCGCCTCGGCTTCCACACGTGCCAGGTGGGACGCAGACCCCCCCACCCCTCCCGCAGAGCTCAGGCCCGGCCGAGAGGGCCGGGTGAGGCAGGTGAGCGCTGGCCCCGCGCCCGCAGCCCCCGCTCAGGCTCCCGTCTGCACTCAGCCCGCCCGAACCGGCACCCCGAACGGTGCGCCATCCTCGCTGGCCCCGCCCCCCAGCCTCCATCTCCGCCCACCGCCTTCTGGCGCCACCTGCGCAGGCCCGCGGGTAGAGGGCTCCACCCTCACTGTCCCCCGCAACCCGGGCTCCTCGGTTCACGGCCGCCTGCCTGTGACCGCAGGAGCGCTGGCTGACCGGTCATGCGTGCCCCAGCGCCCGTCACACGGGAGCTGCTCGAGAAGTGCTGTCTGCGGGCGCCGTGAGCGGAGGGGAGACCAGGAGGAAAGGAAGTGAACTCGGGGCAAACAGGCATCTCGGGCCCGCAGGGCAGGACGGGGCAGCCCCCCCACCCAAGGAAATGGCTCTCTGTAACAAAGCAGCCGTGTCAGAGGCTATGAAAGCCCAGAATGCCCCGCAGGAAGGCCGTACAGACCACCCGGCCCAGGCTTTCCGGTTCAGGTGCGCTGGGCAACGTGCCAGAGGCGGTCCCGGTCGGTGCGTGGTGAAGTGGGGGCGGGGTCCCAGCCTTTGGCCTCCCTCTGCGGTGCCCACTGCGCTGTACTCCCGGGCCCTCGCGTGCTTCCCAAAGACCACGGCTCGGGGGAGCGCCCAGCACGCAACCGTGGGCCCGCGGGTATAGAGGGTTCCAGCCTGCCGCGCGGGACTAGGGTCTGTGAAGGCGGCTCCCGCTGACACCAACCTCCAGGTGTCCGGAGATCACCCTGCAATCCGGGAAGAGGTAGTTGGCCACCTCGCACACGGGGCTCTGTATCCCCAGAGTCTTGCAGTGCTCCCGGGCTTCCAGACAGGCGAAGCTGAACTTGGTCTGAGGCCGGCCAAGGACGGACAGCATCCCACTGGGGACAGCTTCGGAGGCTTCCTGCATGGCCTCGGCTCGGACCTTCACCGCGAACAAACCTATCCGGAGAGAAGTGCGTTTGCAAAGGTCAGGGCAAGTGACGAAGGGGGCGGGGCGGGGGGGGGGAGCCCAGGCCTGCAGGACAAAGCACAGGCGCCACGCTGGGAGCTGAGACCCCAGTACTGGCATGACCGCCAGGCCGCACGGCGGCGTTGTGTGTCTGCATCCATCACACGGAGACACACAGTGTGATCCGCGCGGGCTGCTGTCCGAGGTTCTGCACACACATCAACCCCGGGCTCCTGCCTTAAAGCTGGCTCGGTGTGGCAGCTTTTGTCCCCAGGGCGGTGTCTGGAGACGTTCTTTAATTGTCACAACTGGAGGGGGAGGGGGTTGCTACTAGCAGCCAGTGGGTAGGGGCCAGGGATGCCACTCAATGGGCACAGCAACCCCCAAGAATTATCTGGTCCCAAATCTCAGCAGGGCCGCTGTGGAGAAGCCTGGGGCAGGGTGCCAGGAACTGACGTCTGGGCTATATGGCTTCAGGCAAGCCAGGACCTCCTTCCAGGCCCAATGCTTAGTAAAATAGGATAATAGCAAATAATCTGCCTGGGCAGTTGTGACAAGTGGGAAGTATCATGAATGAGCTTACTATTTAGGAGAAGTCACATGGAAGGGGAGAAACATGAGCCATGAGGTGTCTGGAATGATGGACCATCGCACGAGTTTCAGGTACACCGTTGTTCCAGACCAAGGCTCACTGCCCTCCCTCAGAGCCGGAGACCCTGCGCTCCCCAGGCCGGCAGCTCACAGGGCCAAGACGTAAGGGTGGCCTGGACTACTGGACGAACACCCCCCGGTCCTGGGGCTGCTCCCTGGCTGGGAGGGAGAGGAGGAGCCCAAGGAGGGGTCGGGGGACCAGTCCCGAGTTTGAGGGGCAAACCCTACACTGTCGAACACGCCCTCGCTCACCCCGCACTGGCACACATGCGCACCGAACTCTCAGCCCCCCCCAGAGCCTGTGGTGGGAGGCAGGACGGACCGCACGGGCACTCGGAAAGAACACGGGGAACCCTCCCGTGCAGGCGTCCAGGAAGTAACGACGCAAAATGCCGAGCGAAAACACTGAACACAGAGTGTACACGTGCTGTAATTCTGCAACTCACACAAAAACTACGCATACAAGTTTTATTAGCATGTGGAAATATGAAACTTTTTTCATGTCCTTAATAGTGCGATATTAAAAAAACATGGGGGTGGAATTCACATGGAATATAACCAGCGTCTGCCCTGATTGGTGTGGCTCAGTGGGTTGGGCGTCCTCCCTCTGAACCCGCAGAGGGGAAAGGTCGCCAGCTCTACTGCGGGTCAGGGCACACGCCTGGGTTGCGGGCTCAGTCCTGGTCAGGGCACGTAGGAGAGGTGACCGATCGATGTCTCTCTCCCCCTCTTTCTCCCTCCCTTCCCCTCTCTAAAAATAAATAAGATCTTTAAAGTAGATACAAATATATCCGTATAACCAGTTTCAGGTGTGTAGGTAGAGGCATATGTTGTATTCACAACGTTGTGCAGTCACTAGCTCTAATTTCGGAACTTTCCAGCATTCCCTAAAACACTGCCCACCCCCCAAGTGGAACCACTCCCCGCCCCTCCTCCCCTCCCCCAGGAACCAATCATCCGATTGGCCTGTCCCCGACATTTCACATAAAAGGGGTCGCACAGTGTGTGACATCCGTGCCTGGCGCCACGGCGAGCATCTTTCTGAGGCTCGTCCCTGGGGCAGCGCGTGCCAGCGCCTCCTTCCTGAACACCCTTCCCCCGGACAGATGCACCGTCAGCTTGTCCGTCCGCCTGGAGACGGACGTGGGCACCGTTTCCCCCGTCCGGCGAGTCTGTCTGTGTGGACACACGTTTCGTCCTAAGCACAGACCGCTGAGGACAACTGCTGGCTCATACGGCAATTCTACGCTGGGCTTTTTGAGGCCCCAGCAACCTTTTCCACAGCGGCTGCACCATCTCCCACTCTTCCAGCAATGTTCCTATTTCTCTGCATCCTCGCCACCACTGTTTTCCTCGCTGTTGTTCTAAAGTACAGCCACCCTGCTGGCTGTGAGGTGGTGTCTCGCTGTGGTTTTCATTTGCATTCCCCTCATGACCGGCGATGCGGCACATCTTTTCCCGCGCTCATCGGCCATCGGTGCACCTTCTTTAGGGAAACGTCTACTTGAGTCCTTTGCCGCAGCCCCTCGCTCGGGGTCCTGTCTGCACTCAGCGTGCTCCGGGCAAGGTGCCCAGGCCGGGCTATGAGCAAAAAGGTTGAACTTTCAACTACATGCAAAAGTCTTTTTTTTCTTCCCTCCCCCCCCGAAAACTTTTTTTTTAAATGTAGGTGTTTTAATTTATTGTTTACATATTAGGCATAGTTTAAAAATAAAAATTCTGCCCTGGCTAGCGTAGCTCGGTGGATTGAGCTCGGGCTGCAAGCCAGGCATTGCAGGTTCAAGTCCCGGTCGGGGCGCATGCCTGGGTTGTGGGCCATGGCCCCCAGCAGCTGCACCTTGATGTTTCTCTCTCTCTTTCTCTCTCCCTTCCCTCTCTAAAAATAAATAAATAAAATCTTTAAAAAATATAAAAATTCTACTCTCAGAATACTAAAGGACAGTAAGAGGTGCTATCACATGAACGAAATGAGCTTATGCCATTTTCAACCACTTCCAAAAAACACGGAATGCTTCACGAATGTGCGTGCCATCCTTGTGTAGGGGCCGCGCTAACCTTCTCTGTATCATCCCAATGTCAGTCCATGTGCTGCCGAAGTGAGCATGCAAAAGTCTTAAGCGAAACGGATATGGATCACGGTCAAACACTAGTTTCCTCTTTTCCGCCCAATGAACATGTACCGAACTCCCACCATGGGACAGGCACCGGAGGGGCGTGAGCAGACCAAGGATGCACAGGAGGGGTGTGGGAAAGACAGCCAGGCGGGCAGATTTCACAAGACTACAGAAAGCATGGGCATCCCTGATGAACCCTTTGGGCCTAAGGGAGAATCCAGGTGAGGTCTGGCCCTCAGGTTCCTGTATCCTCCCCATCCATACACTCCTTCTCTACCAACCAAGTAGGTCCAGAACTATTTTTGGTGGTGTCCCTTATGCCTAGTGAGCCCAGCAAGACGACAGACACCCCTGTGCAAAACCAAACCCTTGTGTGTACCTTCGGAAAACTCCATGGCTCCGGCAAACACCAGGGCTGCGAATTCTCCCACACTGAACCCAGCAGCAGCAACGCAGTTCTCAATGACCTGCGGTGACAGATGCAGAACGTGAGGCCCTGTTGTCGGGAGCTCAGTCCGGGCTCTGCACTTGAGAGCTGGCGGTGGCCCAGTGAGCCACGGCCGGCTGGCCTGGTGCTCCAGCCAGAAGACGACACGCAGGAGTGGCCTTGACAGTGGCTGTTGCAGCCCCTTCCCTGATGAGGACCTTCCCTGGCAAGCGAAAGCCTGCTGGCTGCCTCCGAGGTACAGCCTCGACTCTAGCCCAGGGCCTTGGGTCCTCTGCCCCTGCCCTGGAGCCGCCTCCCTGGCCGGAGGCAGCTGGAGAGAGTGGGAGGGCTCTAGGTATAGAAGTTCAAAGTACTGCATGACTTTCAGAGTCTCAGAGAGCTGGGTTTGAGTCTTAGCTTGGGATTTCTCCCTAACCCTCCGAGCCTGCCGTCTCACCTGTGAAATGAGAAAGGAGCAGGGCCTGTCTCTCAGCAGGGCTGCTGGGAGCATTACATGAAGATGTCTTTCAGGCACTGAGCACAGACCTGGCCCCGGGGTAAGGACACCGTGGAGGTTATCACGACTCAGCGGCACCACTCAACTAATTCCTTCAGCGTCTCTGAGTCTCCTTCCCTCATCCACAAAATAACAGCGTTCACCTCACAAGGCCGTTGTGGGGATGGAGTACACACTTTAAAGTACTAGCTTAATGCCCTGGCTGGCGTAGCTCAGTGGATTGAGCACGGGCTGCGAATCAAAGCATCGCAGGTTCGATTCCCAGTCAGGGCTCATGCCTGGGTTGCAGGCCACGGCCCCCAGCAACCGCATTGATGTTTCTCTCTCTCTCTTTCTCCCTCCCTTCGCTCTCTAAAAATAAATAAATAAAACATTAAAAATAAATAAAGTACTAGCTTAACATTTACTGTCTTGATATTATTAAATAATAATTGCAATCAATTCACACCTTCAAGCGAAGTGACATTCTCAGATAATTTCCTCAAGGATCATTACTTAAGGATGATACTCAATCCTCCCAAAATCACTTAGTAATTACTGAAATTATTAAGGATCATTAAAATCGCAACCCGGCCCTTGACTCCTCAGCCCCTTCCCCTGCTCTGTTTTCCTTTCTACGATACAACACTTACTGTTAAAGATGTTTAACACACATGCAATTTACGAAGTGCACCTGGTCTTCTGTACCTGCCTCCCTCCCCTCACACGCAAGCCCTCTGAGGGCAGGGATCCTTGTTTTTGTTTGGTTACGGCTGTATCTCCAGGGCCTGGAACAGCGCCTGGCGCCGACCGGGAACTCCGAGTCCGCCTAGTGTGTCCCAAGTGGCGGCGCTCCAGCCTGGTTGCGAGAGCTCGGGCCTCACCGCGGGCTGCAGGTGATGCAGTTTCTCCACGGCGGCCAGCGAGGCCACGAAGATCGCGGGCTGGCAGTGCGCGGTGCGGTCCAGGGCCTCCTGCGGCCCGTGCAGGCTCAGCTCCAGCAGGTCGTAGCCCAGCACGCGGCTGGCGGCGGCGTAGAGCTCGCGGACGCGCGGGTAGCGGAGCAGACCGCGGCCCATGCCCACCACCTGGCTGCCCTGGCCCGGGAAGAGCAGCACCGAACACTGGTCGGGCGGCCGCCGCGCCACCGCCTCCCGGGGCCCCTCCTCGGCTGTTGTCGCATCTCGCAGCAGCTCCGCCACGTCCACGGCGCCCGGCGGAGGCAGCCGGAAGTCCGAGGCGCCGCGGCGGCAGCCCGCGCCCCAGCCCCAGCCCCTCAGAGCCCGCGCCACCCGGACGCTCATGGTGTGGAACCGGCCCCACGCGGGTTACCGGGGCGACCGAGATCCGACTGTCTCGGCGTGGCGCGGTCCGTGACGCATTTCCTTCCGGGCGGGCCGGGGCACCAGGGGCGAGAAGAAAGGTTCCGCAGCAACTGGTTCCGCTGCAGCTCCGAGACTCTTCACAGCTGCGTGCAGCGGGTCCAGAGGGACCCATGCGCTTACTTGACCACGGGGAAGACTAAAACACGACATCGCATCACAATAAGCCCTCAAAAATATTTACTGACTAAACAAGGCAACGCAGCATTCACTCTTTCTACCTAGCACATGACGAGTGTTTGAAACGCTTCCACATTGACTCAGTACTTCCTTGATTCTCCCAGCTGTGCTGGGCTGTAAGCAAGATAACAGCTCTCTTTTATAATGTTTTCTGCAAACCAGGCACGGTGCACAGCACCTGATAAACACCCAATAACTATTTGTTTCCATTGAACAAAGCTCTGGATATGTTTCTGCTATTAGCTTATGGAATTTCTCACAGCAACACTAGGATGAATTGGTACTATTATCATCCTCAATTTATGGGTGAGTTGACAAAGACTCTAAGATTGAGTGACAGGTGGTTAGTGATAGAAGGGAGTGGAAATTGGGGTTATCTGACTTCTGAGCAGTGGTGTGAGGCTGGGTCAGGGAGAGTCTAACTCCTGACCTCACCCCTAACCACACCCCCTCTGCTTCTCTCTCACTTCCTGTCAGCCGCTTCTAAGGAGCCCAGGAGACACACACACACACACACACGTGGACACACACACACACACACACACTGCACACCTTGTGATGAGAAAGATTGAGGTAGAATGGCATCAGCAAATCCTCAGTGAGTTTGTCCTAAGAAACAAATTAAACGGGCAGAGAACTGACTCTCAGGACATCACGGCAGCCTTGCTTTTGACAGGGGAACAGTGGGAATAATAAGCTGCATGCCCAACTAGAGATTAGTTCAATGAATCGTGGCAAACCTATACAATGGTTTGGTCACACAAAATATGGAGAGAGTTTCCGGCTGAGAGACGAACAGAGCACACACTGTCTGCAGAAGCCCATAAACCCGCAACAGAGTGACCTCTCAAAGACATAAATCCACCAGGACAGGGAGAACAGGAAAGGGGGCCCCAGCAACAGTCTCTGGAGGCTGGAAAGCGGGTAGACTGGCCGGTATTTCTCGACCTGGCGGACCCTAGCTAGCTGCGTCTCTCCCGGCAGTGGAGTTGGGAACCAGCCTTTATTCTTACAACAGGATCCTCAAAAGTTTAGGTGGCACCTAGCCGCTTCTAGGTCTAAGGGTGAAAGAAGGCTGCAGTAAAGAAAACTATTTGAAAGTGTCTCCTGAAGGAGGAACAGTTAGCTCTTCGGATCCCCTCCCTCTTACTAGCCACTGGGGGATGCCCTTCCCCCACTCTGGCCAACATCTGGGGCTAGCTCTGGAAAGGGCTGGGCATGGCAGAGACTGTGGTGAGTGTGGGTGCCAGGCTGAAACCGGTGGATACTGGATACTGAATGCAGAGTCCTCCAGTGTTCGCCCACACTGAGCCCCCAGAAACCTGCGGCCACACCCCTCATCTCCCGGAGAGGGGCTGGAGGACCTTGGGGGACCTGACCAGTCAGAGAAGAAAATCCTAAAGCTACCAACAGCCCAGGGAGTTCCTGGATGGATGGCCCACCAAGTTCAACTCACAGTGAAGCTAAGCCAACAAATACCATCCACGGTCTCATTTCCCCCCTCTCTTCCTAACCACAAGGAGCCGTCCAAGGAAATCCTCTTACAGACAGAACAAAACCACACAGGACTCAGAGGCTAAAGAAAACTATCACTGAGAGTGGAGAGACACTGCATCCATGAAAGAGGAACAGGAAGTTATATTTTTAAAAAAGAACAGTCGGAAGACAAAACGTAATCCCTGGAAATGAAAAATAGCAGAACTGAAAGACTCAAGTGAAGGCCAGGAAGAGAAAGTTGAGGAATCCTCGCAGAAGATCAAGCAGAAAAGGCGAACACGAGGAAGAGGAGGAGGAGGAGAGAAAGGGAAGTGAGAGGCCAGCCCAGGAGGCGCAGGGCGCTGAGTCACGGCGGTTCCAGAAAGAGAAGTGAGGGGATGGAGGGAAGGAAACCAGCCAACTTTCTATTCTTTTATTTTTGGAAAATAAAGAATACGAGTTTCCTGTGTGTGAAAGGGCCACTGAATGCTCTGTGATGGATGGGACCTCCGCGGGCCCACGTGGAGGAGTGAGTGTCAGCGTGAACTTTCAGGACTCTGGAGAAAAAACCTTAAAATCTTCCAGAAGCCCTGGCTGGTGTAGCTCAGTGGATTGAGCGCGGGCTGCGAACCAAAGTGTCGCAGGTTCGATTCCCAGTCAGGGCACATGCCTGGGTTGCAGGCCATGGCCCCCAGCAACCGCACATTGATGTTTCTCTCTCTCTCTCTCTCCTTTCCCTCTCTAAAAATAAATAAATACAATCTTAAAAAAAATCTTCCAGGAGGAACCAAACAGGGTGCACACAGAGATGCCGTCCCGTTGGCACCCTGGCAGCTGGAGGTCCCGTCTTCAGGATGCCGAGGGACTAACGGCTCCCCGTTGAGTTCTCGCTCAGCCAAGCATCCACCAGCCATGGCAGAGAACTTTACAACGATCCCTCCCGCGCACTCTCTCTCCAGAACTCCCGGAGGACGGGCTCCTCGCAGACGCGGAGACCCAGCAGGGCACAGAGGCGCCGCCCAGGAAACGGGGAGCCAGCCAGCAGGGGGTGGAGGGCATCGCCCGGGTACATGGTGGTGAACAGGGGCCCAGGATGGCGCGTGCACGGGCGTGCAAGCAGTCCCGCCAGGAGCTGTGCGATGCCAGGGACGTGCCGAGGGCTGCTGTCCCCACAGTGCCAGCTGCCACTCTGGTGCCTGCTTAAGGACTGAGTCCCTGGGCCGCTCGGCCCGGAGTCTCGTCCACACTTGGCCAGTCTCGATGGCAGGCTGATGAGGTCCTGTCCCCCCGGCCCCCACCGCCTGCCGCCTGGCTCAGCCGAAGACACTTGCTCCATCTCGCAGGAGCGACCGCCCAGACGCCCGAGTTCTGAACACAGGCGCGGCGGGCTCAGAGGCAAGAAGACAGAGCAACCCACGCTTCCGACCCCTTCTTGCTGAGTGCCCTGCCACCGCCCCGCCTCGCCCCCAACCTTGCCCATGACCGCCGTGCACAGGGAGGCTGAGGCCTGTCCACTTTGACCTTCCTTGCAGTCTTCCTCGGGTCCGGCCTCAGGCCCACCATCTCCAGCCAGGTGTGGTGGGCTGCCCCTTCACCTGTCTGAGCGCCTGAGGTGGGGTCCGTTCCGTGGGGACTGGGGAGGGGTCTGCCCTGCCCCCTCCCGGGACAGACTGAAGTCAGGGGCTGGGTTTGCTTGCGTCGTGTCCTCCAGGGCTCAGCCCAGAGCTGGGCCGCCCAGGCACCCCATATAGGACACGCCCCTCAAGGCTGGCATGTGACAGATGTCCTGGAGAGGCTTCCATGCTCAGCGCTGTGGGGTTCAGCGGTCACAGCCCACTAGAGTGGAGGCTGCGCAGAGCTGGGGTTCTGGAAGAGCCTCCTGGGGTGTCACAGGAGAGCGGTCTGACTTGGACTTGTGGCGATGCCCAGGGTGGGAGGGAATGGTGCTCCAGGTGGGGGACAGCGCATGGGAAGGCACGGAGGTGGGGGTGGGGGGTCAGCTGGACCCCAGCTTGGCAGGGCCTTGAGGGGTCCAGGCTTGGACTTGCCCCTCGGGCAGTGGGAGCCACGGAGGGCTCTGAGTAGAGGAAGGGCCTGGAAGGGAGCTAGGGACCAGCTGGGGCGTGGGCTGTGGCCCAGAGGAGGGGCAGTCGCTGCTGTCCGGGCTCAGGTGGGGGTCTGGGGTGGCGAGGAGGGAGGCAGAGGTCACGGGAGGCGGGCAGGCGCATCCGTCTCTGGATCCGCAGGGTGAGTCGCCTCGGGCAGCACCGCCCCTGGGAGCTGCAGGCTCTCACCGGGGGAAAGGGTGTGAGCCTTCCGAGGGCAGGGCCTCGAGGCTGGGTGCTCAGCCCTGCCCTCCGGCCCCGGTGTGCAGCCAGTATTGGGGAACAGCGACCTCTGCCTCCCGGGGTGCCCCCGTGGGTCCGGAGCCCTGCATGCCACAGGGGTGAGACCAGAGGGAAGCCAGGCTGCCCCCTCCCCACGGGTCCTCTGGGGGAGGAAACTGTGCCACTCAGCCAAGCCGGGGGCACCTCCTTCCAGGGAACGGCTGAGGGCTGGCAGCTCTGGGGGGCCGTGGCCAGACCACCTTGGCCAGGGACAGAGGCGCAGTGCCTGGGGCCAGCACACTTTGAGGAACCCAGGCAAATATTTTCCTTTCTTTTAAAATCAGCAGAAGACAGTGGCTGGGGTCTAGCCTGGCTTGTACTTGTCATTACACCAGTACAGCCAGAGGTAGTGGGGGCCCACGCAGGCAGAAATGCTGGGGCCTGGCCTAGGAGTATGAGACCACGGCCGGGGTGGGGGGGCGCTGGGCTGCGGAGCCTGGGGGAGGGGCTCACCCGGGCCCTGGGCGGGCCGGGATGGGCAGTCGGGGCTCCTGCAGACCAGGTCAGCCCCAGATGGCTGGGACAGGCCCTGGCCTTCAGGAGTAAAGGAGCCTGCAGACCGGGAGGGGAGGCAGCGCCCAAGGCCTGGGGCTGGACGCGCCTGTCCCATCCGGGTGACCCAGGGAGGCCACCTCTGGGCTGTGATGAACGGCAGCCTCCACTCACTGAGCACCAAGTGTCGGCAAGGCGCCCTGCCTGCATTGCGGCGGGCGGGGGGGCACCCTCCTTAGCCCCAGGATGGTGCGCCCATCTCCCAGGTGCGGGGAGATGGGGGCAGAGCCGGCCGCAGAGCGGCTGAGCCAGGGCCAGCCTGCGGGCTTTGCCCAGAGGAGAGAGGGTGCTCCTCCAGATGGGGGGCCAGGCTGCTGGGTAGGAGGGTGTTCACGCTTTGCCATCAGGCGATGCAATGCCCCTCTCCAAGCGTGGTCTC